CCCATAATGATGGTGTAGGATTTCACATTTAAAAGTATGAGATGAAACTAATTTGGGTAAGTAGAGCTCACATGATGCCTTGATTGGTCTTGAATTATTGAAAACATTTCACAAAGTTAGGCCTTAACATGGTACTTCATTTAAAGCTACCTAACAACATAAACACGTGGGTTATGTGCCTGTTTCAAGTTCTCCACACTTATTGCTCACAACTCAGGGCTATAGAATAACCATGTGGATCATACTAACAAATAAAAATAAATAAATTAAATTAAATTATAATGAAACAATTAATTAATGCAATGATGATTAAAACTTACGCTATAATCCACTTGTCGTTTAGCAAAGTCAATGCCTCCGTCGGTGCAAGAGTCGGATTCTTCGCCTCGAGCTACGTAATGAGCTCGATGACCTTCGCCCTGGTCTTGCTCGTCGGACTAGTCTTTGATGGACTGGACTTCCTCGTCGGAGAAGAGTCTTGCTTAGTGGTTGGAGAAGGATGCAAAATCGATGCTCCTCGTCGGAGAAGATGGGGGGCTGCGACTGGATGGCAGAAGAGGAGGACAATGGGATTTGAGAGAGGGATCTGAGCAAGAGAAACGGGATCTGATCTAAGAGAGGTCATCTGATCAAGAGAGGGGATCTGATTGAGAGAGTGATCTGAGAGGGAGATGCGATAAAGAGTGATCTGAGAAAGAGATATGATAAAACGTTTAGGATCAAAAAATAAAAATTGAGATGATAAAACGTTCAGGATCAACACAAAATATGCCTACAAATTAGGGCACAAGTTGCATTTTTTGAACTTTTGCTATCATTGAGAGTGTGAAAATCGAACTTGTCATTAATTATACAACAAAGGTGATACCAAATCAGATGGTGGATGCCTTCAGGAGAATGTAACATCCAAATTTCAATAAAAGGACCCTCTGCATAGCATTAGGTACAAATATTTGATGGTAAATAGTATTCCATAAGGATGCTTTGTTTTTTCATGATTGTTTGTACTGCTTTTGTACATTACTCCAGCAATTTTCTATTGCTTGTATCCTTCACATATCTATTGCTGGTTTTGGATTTTACAGGCTCTCTCTCTGTCGGATATATTTGCAGAAAATAATCTTTGAACAACATGCCAACATGTCATATGGGCAACACACCTAACATACAATACAGTGAATAAAAAGAAGAGGATGAAAGTAGAAAAAGGGTTAGAGAGTGGTTTGGCTACAATATGTTTTGTGAAGAGTTTGACAGAGGAAGATGAATGGAAAAGAGTTTTGTACATACAACCTGTATGATGATGTAAAGCCTTTTTGCATGGAGGCTGTTATTAGTGTTTGTTGTTCTTTGGCTTGGGGTACACTTATATAAAGATAAATAATGAAAAATTAAATTCTATGTATCACAGCTTCAAAATGTACAAGAAATGAGTGGTATTTTTGCTTCTTCTTCTTTTTTATTTTTTATTTTTTTAAGGTATATGATCATCATAGATAAAGCTTCAAGTCTCCTCTATTTGTGATGTTGTGAGGAAGCATTGCTATTGAAGAATAACTACTTAACTAGTAGGTGAAATGAATTAAATTCATGATGGCTTGTTTAAAGCTAAAATGGTTTTGAAATTTTAATAGTTGGGTTTAATATGTATTGAAATTGGCTGGGGAATTCAGTTAGAGAACTTGGATCATTCTCTCTTTAAATTATGCTTTTATGAATTTTATTTTTGATTATTAAATAAGTTCAAAATTATTATGAAAACAAAATTAAATTCTAAATTTTTTTATTTTTTTTTATTTTGTCTGGTGAATCATGATGTGAGAAATTAGATGGAGTAATTGGCTTTTATGAAATTTATTACAAATTGGTTGGAGACTTTTGGCTAAGAAAAAGTCATTGTAAAAGGTTAAGAAGATGTTTTTAAAACTTTATTGTAAATAAAAGGGTAGAAAACATCATTATTAATAAAGAGGGTAGAAAACGTCATTGTTTTATAATGACGTTTTTAAAAAGGTCATTGTAAATGATGTTTTCTGCCCCTTTATTTTTTTTTAATATCTGTTAGCGGTTGTTTAAAAATTAATGTTTAAAAACGTCATTATAAATGACGACTTTAAAAAGGTCATTAAGAATGACATTTTTAGGAAAATAATTTTAATTTTAAATCGTCATTCTAAATAGCGTTTTAACATTTAAAAACGTCATTTCAAATGACGTTTTTAAAAGAAAATTAGTTTGAGAAATTAGTTCAAAATTGGATTGATTTTGAAATTAAGATTTGAGGAGGACTAAATTTGGGGAAAACATCCTCTCTTCGTAGTTGGGATAAGTATAAATTTGGAGTCTCTAATTGTGCTAGTAGTTGACTCAGTTGTGAGTTTGAATGTTAAATTGAATTTCCTTTTAACTCAACACTTGTAATTAATTAGATTTTTAAGTTAAATCTTCCAATTAGATACAATAACATTTTTTTTTTTTGGTAATATAGCTAAATTAACAAGAGCCTCACCCTCCCGTCAAACCAAGAAAAAATTATGAAGCTTTCTGACTTCTGTCGGCAAATAACACCGGTGGGAACCAAAAAAGAAAAAGAAAAAGGCGCTGTTGGTGTGAGAGAGAGAGAGAGATTTTTTATGATAGATTCTAAGCACTCACCAACCATTCTACTCTGCGCCCACCAACTCGTCAAACTTTTAAACCACCACTTCATGAACCATGCGCAGCCTTGGTTTCTCTCAGACTCTCAACTTACTTTCCACAACTTTAGCATTCTAGAGAAAATGTGAACATAAAATGTTTATAATCAGCTTATGGTGTTTGTTCACATCCTAAAACCTTACTTACCCTCCCCCCAAAAAAAAAAGGAAAAAAACATTCTATAAGTGAGAGAAATCATTTTATTATCTTATTTTGTTTTGTGTCATTTTGTTGTTTTGCTCAGTGATAGAATAATATTTGCTCACCATACTTAGTAAGATCTCATACAAAGAATATTTTAGGCAGTGGTGGAGCAACATATTTTTAATTATTAAATTTTTTAATATTATTAAATTAAAAATTAATTTATCATTAACTACCCACCTTATCATTAAATTTTCATTTGTAATTGTTACCTACAAATGAAAGTCACAGTACTTTCCCCTACTAGTTCATTCTTGATGGTGGACAAAATTATTACAATTATAAATATCAAACTACTTTCTATTAATTCACCACCAAGGTGGTCTGTGGGTACCAGTCTCACAATTAAGTATGATTTTTTCTTTTGAATAGGTGGATAAAATTATTACAATTATAAATATCAAATCACTTTCTATTAATTCACCACCAAGGTGGTCTAGTAGAATATCAGTCTTACTTCTTATCGTGAGATTAGAAGTTTGAGTTTTAGAGCTTCCATTAAGATCTGATAGTTGATCGCTATGTTACTTTAATTAAGTCCGGTCACGAGAGGTATTTCATACGCAATCAAGAGCCTTACCATTCCAGTGGAAGGGAAAAAAAAAACTACTTTCTATTAATTCAATGTTTTTATCTTATTAACTTTCTAATTAAGATTTCAATTTCAACCGCTCCAAGAGTCGTGATCTTAAAAAAGGGTTGTTTTTGGCTTTTCTATAACAGTCCATCTCAAATAAAAAATCTTTCTCACTCTCTCTCACACACACACAGGTTAGGTGCCAACAATTAATTCAATAATTATGATAAATTATATCAATAAATTATGTAAACAAATAAGGTCAAATAAAAGCTGTTGACAAAAAGAAAATAGTCAGAGACCAAACTGAAGTTTGTGTGCATCTAAACTTTGACATCTTTCAATGGAAATCTCCTTTCGTGCATCAAAATATTTCAAAATTGCATCAAGAGAGTTCAGACTCCTCAAGTCATATCTATACTATAAGGGGGTGTTTGGGGCGCCAGATAAAGGTGGATACCAAGAGCGGCGGATACCAAGAGCGATTGGAGTATAAATATCTAGGGGACCCACTTATCATTGATTTGGCAAGAGAATTGAGGAGGGGATATTCGTTGCCTTCAAAAGATCGGGCCGAATGTTTTGAGGACACATATCCCCTTTGAGCCGGATTTTTAGATTCCACCGGAAGTTTGGGATTGCTAGTGAATCCAACATGATATCTACATATTTACTTAAATACCCTTGTACAATAAAAAACTAGGATTTTTATTCCCTTCTTTTCAGTTTCACCCCACCGGTCCCCCTTTGCTTCGAACGGCGCTCACCCACAGGTCCCCCCCTCACAAGTGAACGACGCTCACCCTCCGGTCCCCCCTCACAAGCGAAGGTATGCCCGTCTCTCTCTCTCTCTCTCTCTCTCTCTCTTCAAGCTTTGTAGCCATGGATAGAAACCAGAAAAAAAATGTTGAAAATCTAGTCTGTATAAATGGTGCTACTGGTTTGCCACCACCTAATTTGTTTGTGTATTTGAACTAACATATAATCTTATATATTTATGTTTGTCTGAATTCTTGAATGTTTGATGGTCTTGATAAATATTTTTTAACTTGATTATGGAATGGGTGAAGCTGCTGGATTAGAGAAAATGATTTTAGATGAAGTTCATGAATTGGCAACAATCTGTATCTCTGTCAACTCTGATCACATTCTCTTTTGATCCTAGTTTAAAATTTGCTAAAAATATTGGTGCATCATATTTTTTCTCATCTGGGTATGTCTTGGCTCCTGGATAATTAATGCAAAAGCTATATGAACTCAATACTTTGCTTCTTGTAAATTTTTTTTTTTGAAAAATGAAATAAATTTTGATTTCTTTAAAAAAATGTTAATTTTTTGCAATAAAAATGAAAGGGGATGGTATTTTTTTTGGTTTGAACTGGGACAAGGGTCATTTGTGATGATGTTCTTGAGCAATGTCATTGGTCGTTGTTCGGTGCTCTGTCTGCATTGCTCTGTTTTTGTTCCGTGTCGTGTTTAAGTTTTTTTTTTCCAAATAAGATAAAAACATATCCATCGATTCTTAGATTAGAAGTTTAGATGACTTGCACATCTCTATAAGCTGAGCCCCCGAAATCTTCTGTGATCCATCATTTTTCTCTTCTTTGAAGTTCAGATCATAGATCTCGTCTGCTCCGTAAAATTCAGATGCAGCAACATCTGTTCCAATAACAACTTTGCCTGTGTAACCAGCTTTAGCAATGGCTGTCTTAAGCAACTCACGGCCCTCTTTGTTCTCCTGAATATTTGGAGCAAAGCCAACTTCATCACCAACATTTGTTGCATCCTGACCATATTTCTTCTTGATCACAGCCTTCAAGTGGTGAAATACTTCCACACCCATCTTCATGGCCTCCTTAAAAGTGGATGCTCCAACAGGAAGAATCATAAATTCCTGCATATCAAGTTTGTTTCCTGCATGTGATCCACCATTGATGACATTGAAAGCAGGCACTGGGATTTTGTATAGAATTTTATATAAGGATTTTGTATAGAAATTTCTTTTTAAGAGAAGTTTTGTTTTTTTTTACATGTTTTGAAGGAGGTTTGTATAGGGTTTTTTCCTTTTGCTTCTTGTAATTTTTTTGGTGATTGGAAATAAAATTTTCTTCTTTTTTTTTTTTATAAAAATAAATATATGGTTAATTAATGTTATGGTTCATGTGAATTTGGGTTGTGAAATATTTTCTCGTATATTCAATCATTTTTTTTCTAATTTTTTTAATATCTTTGGTGGATGATATAAATTTGTGAACGACTTATAAACTTATATTATTAAATCATCGTTTAATAGCATGTATTTGGTGAATACATAAGCATTCTTATATTTTTCACAATATTAAAGTGGTAACCAACAGTCCTCAAGCCAACAAAAGAGATATAATTCAAGGGTAAACTGGTCAATTAATGTAATTTGTCCATATTTCAACCACGTCATAACTCACTATCCAAAGAAGGGATTGGATAACACAAATTATTTTTATCCCCCTACAAATCCTACCCATTGGGATTTCATTGGATTGGTTTGGGATTTAAATCCAAACTACTCTTGTCCATCCATGAATTGTCAAACACACCCTAAAGGGCTAATCTTGCACTCAAAGATCACTAAATCTTAATTTGTACCTTAAAAATTTAAACTTTCAATTTATATTCAGAAAGAAATAAATTCGTATCAATGTGCACCTGTGGCTAACTTCGTCTATTTTGCCGTTAAAAAATTTTGGTTAATCTTAAATTAGACCCATCAAAGTTTAAATATTTCATATTTATGATCTAACAAGAATTTAATTCATTAATACTCGTTAAATAAATCTTAATTGTATCGTATTATAACATCTTCGTGTCGTGTTTGAGTCAATAAAAAATTATTTTTAAAAATTTTTAAAAAATTATAAAATACTTATTTTTTTCCTATAATACTCATTAAAAAGATATTTTTTTTGTCTACAGTTAGACACAAATCTTTTGATTATTCGAGCAAATTAAAGTTATATACGAACAACACAATTGTAGACAGAAAATAGTTATTTAACGAGTATTATAAACACAAAGAGATCATTTTTAATTTTTAAAAAATATTAAATAATATTATATGAATTGTCGTAAATGTGAAATATATGACACAACGCAATTGACTGGACGTGTGTTTGTGGATAATATGTAGATTTATCAAGAGATAAAACCAAAAGATGATGACACCGTAATCGTGATGGTTCTAATGGCGAGAGTGGCATCAAAGATGGTGATGAGAATCAGATATAACGACAACACCTATGACTCCATCTATCCATTTCTTCAGCTGTAATCCGTTTTGTTCAAACTAGCCACCGACTTGCACATTATTCTGATGTATATAAGACTGTAGGACTCCCAGAATATCCGAGTATCTGTAGCTGAGGAATCTGTGGATGGACAGTTGTATGGTCAAGCAAGTGATCTCAAGCCGCACTAAGAAGATCAACAAATGTAAACAACTAAATACACGAGTAGTGAGCCTAAATGACGGTTTACCAAGATAGAGCAACTAGAAATGAGACTTACTGTCCAAAAATGGTGGAAGACATTCGATTTTAACATAAACTGCAATAAGAACAACATCAGTCCAATATGATGTTGGCACATGCATGTTAAACATTATGGTGAAAGCAACATCTAATAAATGACGATTTTTACGTTCGATAACGCTATTTTATTGGGAGGTATATGGACAAGTGCTTTGATGAATAATGTCATGGTCAGCACAAAAGGTTTTCATAAATAATTGAGTATAATAGCATTGTCAGACCGGAGAACTTTAATGCGAACATCAAATTAAACTAAAGACCTTGTGTAATTCAAATTGGTCTTTCATAAGAAATAATCAAGTCATACTAGAGAAATCATCAACAAATATCTTAATATACTAAAAATTAGAAATACTTTTGACTTGTGCAGGACCCCCAAATGTCTATATGAGCAATATGAAATGGACTAGACTAACGGTTTGATGAGCTAGGAGTAGGCCTGTCAACGGATCAAATTCAGACCAGATCTCAATCAATCTAAATCCAAATTCATTTAAAAAATCGAGTCTGAATTCGATCCAAAAATCGGACGGATATCAAAATCATAATTTGAATTTAAATCTATTAATAATCAAACATCCAATCCCATTTGAATAAATTGAAGTTCTATAAAATTACGACAAATAATAAAAAATTTCACTAAATTATTGCTAAATTTTAGTTTAGTTTCATGAGTAAGTCACCTAATTCCAACAATTCTAATTTAATTTTATCATCTATTCACCTAATTCAGCAACAAAAAGTAGAAAAAAAAAAAGGGTAAGGAGCGGTGGTAAAGAGGGGAAAAGAATGAGTCATATGGCTTCCGTGCTTTAATACATAGACGTGTATATGTTTATATATATATACATATACTTATATATATAATTTTACACGAATAAGATTCTTACTGGATCGGATTAATAAATAACCAAATTCAAATCCATTTACCTAGATTTTTATCAGATTCGGATCGAATCAGGTTAATGGATTAAAATTTCAATCCATATTCGGATAAACATATTTGACTTCGGATCGGATTCGAACTAAAATTCGGTCCATTGACAGGTCTAACTAGGAAAAAAATAGTTACGATGATGCTTCGCTAATTGACAAGCCTAACATTCTAAAACAAAAGAAGAACTCAAACTAGGAAGAACTTGACATAACTTTTGTAAGCGGGGTTGACCTAGTCGAAAGTGCCTCTGAAGGGAGACACAGGTAGCACTCAAAGCAGGAACAAAAAGACCAAAATCTAAATAGTATAGGCCATTGTTCTCCTTCTCTAATCTACTCTCCTTTTTGTCTTGAGGTCATAAAAAACACAAGAAGATGGAGGGAAGGTTATAGAACACTACAATGACTTAATTAACTGATTCACTTATAACAAGTTAAAGAAAAAAATTAGGAACAAACAAACCAAAGGTGAACGACATAGAATTAGTAGGAAGGAGATCACTCCCACAAATTGGTAGAAAGGAGCCATCAGCTAACACAAACAAGCCAAAGGTTAACGGCTTATGGTTCACGACAGTTAAAGAGCCACCAGCAAAACTACTCCACACACGACATGGAGTTGGCGGTCATTATCTTTGCCTTGAAAGCATGACGCCATAATCTGTACGGAGAGCAGTTGGAGGTATTTTCAGACTACAAGAGTCTGAAGTATATCTTCACATAACAGGACCTCAACATGAGGTAGCGTAGGCGAATGAAGTACTTAAAGGATTATGACTTCATTTTTCATTACAATTATAGTAAGGCAAATATGGTGGTGGATGCATTCAGTAGGAAGTCACGGGGAATCTTGGCTAGTATAGTTTTTCGAGAGTGACAGATGCTCGAAATTGTGAGACAATTTGGACTACACTATGGAGGTCAGGCTTAGGGCACTTTGGGGGGTCTAGTGGCTATGCCTTCCTTACTGAGCAGGGTGATCGAGTTCCAAGGATAGGACACATAAATATTGTCTATCAGGGACCAGGTACAGTCTGGTGTAGGTAATGAGGGTTGGCTCATTCGCACAGATGGTAGTCTTCGATTTAGGGGAAGAGTCTTAGTTCCCCAGTTTATAGATCTCAGAAAGGAAATCCTCAGCGAGTTTCATTGCTCCCATTTTGTGGTATATCCAGGCGACACAAAAATGTACCATGATCTTCGTTATCAGTATTATTAGAGTGAGATGAATAGAAAAGTCGGAGACTTTGTTAATAGATGTCTCACGTGTCAACAAGTCAAGGCTGAGCACCAGAGTCTAACAGGGTTGTAACAGCATTTGGAAATGGCTGAGTGGGAGTGGAAATGCATCGCTATGGATTTTGTAACCCACTTACCATGAACTTTGCGTGGGCATGACGCTGTGTGAGTGATCATGCACCAGCTTACGAAGTTAGTATACTTTTTTGCGATGCAGATGACCTTCATATTGAAGGAATACTACAAGTTGTATATACGGGAGATAGCCTGATTACATAGGGTACCTGTATTTATAGTATCGGATCGGGATCTCATGTTCACGACTCACTTTTCGAAGATTTTTCAGTGAGCTATGGTGACACAATTGATGATGAGTACCGCTTGACCTCAGGGGTAGGTGTGAAGAGCACTTACCTTTAGTAGAGTTCGATTACAACAATAGTTACTGGGTGAGCATGTAGATGACACCCTATAAGGCATTATATGAGAGGTCATGTCGTTTTTTGATTTGTTGGACGGAGGTTAGAGAGGGACTTTTCACAAGTCCGGACTTGATCAGAGACACCTCAAAGAAGATGGACATGAGACGAAAACATCTTCTTATAACTCAAAGCCGATAGAAGAGTTACACCAACAAGGGACCTTCGAGGAGGGGCGATGCGTATCATGGATAGCCGAGAGCAGATTTACGTGGCAAGACTGTGAGGTTGGTGAAGGTACTGTGGCAACATTGTGGTATGGAGGAGGTGACATGAGAGAGTGAGGACACTCTTTGTGCTACCTACCCGTTCTTGTTTGAGGATAGAGGTAAATTTCTTGTAGTCATAGAGCATTATATGGCTTGTGTGCATATGCATTTAGTTATATGTGCAAATGTGTGTAACTTCGGGGACTAAATTTCTTTATAATGGAAATAATGTAAAACCCAAGAAAATTAAAACTTTATTATAAAGGTCAAAATGGTAATTAGCCATTACGGTGGGTTTGAAAACTCAATTTTGTTTAGAACTCAGATGACGAAACGAACCTCACTATTGGATTCGTATCGTGAAATCTATCTACCTAGTCAATTTTTGTTGAATTTTGAGACAATTAGATTTTTTGTGTTTTACGAGGCGATCAGGTTCGCACAACTAAAATAAACGCGATCAAATTTTATTCACGAGACTCAAGAAATAAAGTTAGTTCAATAAAAAAATGTACTAAATTTAA